GCATGTGGTGCTGGGGGATTGAACCTCAGTCCCTGTGCTTTGCTAAGCTTGTTCTAAGTAGGTGCTTTAGACCACTGAGCCATCTCACCAGCCCCAGTATGTAGTCTTGAATGCCATCTAGCTCAGCTGTCTGGGAACTCCTAGAGATCGTCCTGCTTCAGCTTCCAGAGTGCTAGGGTTACAGGCATGTCTTTCCCTTGAGGCAGGGTCTCACTAAGACTGGGCTGCAACTTTTCATCTTTCTGCTTCAGCCTTCTGCATAGCTGGCATTTAAAGAGTGGGCCACCACACCTGGCTTATTTTTTTTTTTTTAGGTGAGTTTTTACTGTGTTGCCTAGGCTAGACTAAAATTTTTGGATTCAAGAAATCCTCCAGGGGCCGGGAAGAGAGCTCAGTAGAATAAGTGCTTGCCTAGAAAGAGCAAAGGACTGAGTTCAATCCCCGGTTCTATTAAAAAAAAAAAAATGAAAGGAAAGAAAAGAAAAAGAAATCCTCTTGCCTCAGCATCCGGAGTAACTCAGATTACGCCTAGGACCATTGTATCCAACCAGCAAATAGAACCTTTTAAAACTTGTGGGGCGGGCCAGCCAAATAGCTCAGTGGATTAAAGCACCTGCAAGCAGGCCCAGGGGCTGGGGGTTCAATCCCTGGCCCTGCCTTGCAGGCCCTGACCCTGGGGCACACTGAGATGGCAATTGAGACTGGGCGTAGTGGTGCACGCCTGTAATCCCAGCCCTTGAGGCTGTAAACAGGAGAATCACTACGAGTCCAACCTAGTAGTGAGACCCTGAACACCCTGTAGACCCTTCCCTAAAATACAGAATCAATCAATCAATCAATCAATAAAACTTGTAGGTAAGGTTGCTCTTTCTAGGAATTTCTACTGCAGACTTATTCAAAGGCATATTGGCCAGAGTTGGTAAAATATTTTGGATTTTGCAGAATACACCAGCTCTGTTTCTGTCTTTTTTTGTTTTGTTTTGTTTTTTTGGAACCAGGGATTGAACTCAGGCCCTTGCGTTTGCCAGGGAAGCACTTATTCCACTGAGCCATCTCCCCGGCGCACCATCTGTGTGGATTCTGCCACCATAGCTATAAAAATATAACTGAAAAATATGTAAAAACTATGTGAATGAGGGCTGGTGAGATGGCTCAGTGGTCTAAAGCACCTACTTAGAACAAGCTTAGCAAGCACAGGGACCGTGGTTCAATCCCCCAGCACCACATGCCAGCCAGCCCCGCCCCCTGGTGGGCTGAGCTGGACACACACACACACACACACACACACACACACACATAATAAATAAATAAGAATTTTAAAAAAAATTGTTAAAAAAAACTATGTGAATGAGAAAGCAGGGCTGTGTCAGAATGAAATGTTTACAACACAACATTTTATTTATTTATACTTTCTATTTTTTAGTCTTTTTGAGCCAGGACTCACTATGCAGTTCCACCAGACCTTGAGTCTGGTCTGGAACTTGCAATGATCCTCCTGCCTCAGCCTCCCTGAGTGCTGGGATTACAGGCGTGCACTACCACGCCTGGCTATAACATTTTAAAACTACAAATATAGCAGGATATTGTTCTTCCAGCATTACCCCTTAAGCCTTGTCTGAGTTGATGAATGGTTGGAAATAACCTAAATGTCCTTCAAAAGGAACTGAGCGTGGTGGCACCTGCCTATCCCTCCCGCCTATCAGGGTCCCAAATTCCAGCTAAATTCCCCAGGCAGAGCTCAAATTTGGGATCCTCCTACCTCAGTTTCCCAGAGTGCTGGGGTTATGGGCCGGTGCCACTGGGATTACTGTATTTTTATGTCAATTTTTAAATTAATTTCTGAAAACCTGTATCTGACCTGCAGAAGGTAGAGGGATCTATTTTTACCTTCAACCTCGAATGCCCGGCCCTTGCCGTCAGCACCACTGTTGAATTCCCAGTAATTCAAATAAGCAGTAGGGCGTCCTCTGTGCATTGGAAGCCGGGATTCCACGGAGTAAACCAGTCTCAGGTACCGCAGGTTCGTCCGCAGCTGTCCCTTTGCTAAACTCTAGGGGGCGCTGCTCGCACAGAGAACGATATCCGCGGCTCCATCTTCAGGGACAGATTTCTCCTAAGTACCTTTCTGAGGTGCTACGGATGGAACCCACGGGCTTGCACGTATTAGCAAGCGCCCCACCCCTGAGCAGCACCCCCAGCCGCAATGCACACGCACACGCGCACGCGCACGCACGCACGCCTGCCCAGCATGGAGAGCATGCAGGAGCAAGCGGCCCCATTGTCCAGATCCTGATTTTAAGGCTCAGGGTGGGGCTCAGTGGTTGAACATTTTCTTTCTTTCTTTCTTTCTTTCTTTCTTTTTTATTTGATGGAACCAGGGATTGAACTCAGTCCTTTGCGCTTGCCAGGGAAGCACTTATTCCACTGAGCCATCTCCCCGGCCCCTCATTTTCTTATGATAGATAGATGATAATTGATAGATGATAGACAGACAGACAGACAGATTGAGACAGCCAGACATTGTGGTGCTGGCCAGTCATTCCGGTATTTGGAGGCTGAGGCAGGAGGATCCCCATAAATCTGAGGCCAGGCTGGGCTACATGGTGAGTTTATAGCCATCTTGGACTCCACAGCGAGACCCTGGCTCACAATTAAATAAATAAAGGTTACCCTCATTGAAAGGGTCCCATCCTTCCCAAAGAAATGCGTGGGATCCTGGCCCAGGAAGGAAAATCCAAAGGCAGTCTGAAGCATTTTGTTCTTTCGGAAGGAAGTTGCCCAAAGACCAGCGGCCCTGTGTCGGAGAGGCAACACTGTGTGATGAGCTCTTTTTTGTAAAAGCTTATTTTCTCTGCACGTGGCGGTGCACGGCTGTCATTCTGGGTGCCTGTGAGGTCGAGGCAGGAAGGCTGCAAGTTCAGACTGGCCTGAGCAACCAAGAGAGGTCTGGTCTCAGAGTAAAAAGGAAAGAGGGCTCTGCCTGGCAAGTACAAGGTTTGGGTTTAATTGCTGGTACCAAAAAGAAAAATAAATAAATAAATAAATAAATAAAGAGGGCTGGGGGTGCAGCTCAGGGGCAGAACATCCCTGGGTTCAG